TTATCTAAGTTACTGCAAATAAATCTTAAGCCTAGATGTAGATTTACAAACTATGCAAATATATATCTATAACTGCCTCCCTTTGACAAGTAATGCACCTCAGTTGTGCAGTGTTATAATATTTTGACCAAACAATAAATTCAGGTAAAGAACTTGTTGCAAACTCTCCAACTGTTGATCCATGGGGAAAATAATCTTGTGTGGATGGCATTGAGTATTTTTTATATTCATTAATGGGATGAGGGCATTGCTGGCTAAGCAGCAGTTATTGCCTATCCCAAATTATTCAGTCAACCACATTGCTGTGGGTCTGGAGTCGCATGTAGGCCAGACCAGGTAAGGATGGCAATTTCCCTTCCTAAAGGACATGAGTGAACCAGATGGGTTTTTTCTGACAATTGCATAATGAATTCATAATCGTTATTAGATTCTTAATTCCAGATATTTTATTGAATTCAAATTCCACCATCTGCTGTGGTGGGATTCAAACTCCGGTCCCCAGCACATTATCTGGGTCTCTGGATTAACGGTCCAGAGATAATACCACTAGGCCACTGCCTCTCCTATACCTAGATTATTCCCAGCTGGCTGAATTTGGTTTTGTGGAGATTAGATTAATTTTTTTGGAACTCGCACTTAGTGAGGTTTTCCTGTGGGTTTGATGTGCATTGAGATGGATTTCAGAGTGCAAAGCCTGTTTCCAACAAATTGTGCAACTCCTTAGCTTTATTATATAATGGTTCACATAGCATCTCTGAAAATACTGCAGACTAACTCTAGTTCAGCAGCTTGTGTTTGCAAATGCAACACTTCCCACCTGCAATCAGTCATCTTGCCTTCCAAAGAGTCCATGGTATCTCGAGTAAAGTGATATTCTAAGTTATTTCATATCTTCATAACCATGGTCTAACTTGTACCTGAGTGATTCTCAACTGCCGTGTAATATTGTTTCCTTTTTCATTTTCTTCATACAGTTGACTTTTTTCTACAACCCACAAAGCAAATTGTCCAGAGTATTTTAAAATTCTGTCCCCGTAGTTCATTGTAAGATTTAATCGGCATGAAGTTTTCAGCTGTTATCATTTACTATATTGTACATGATGTTTAAAGGCCTTGAGTAAACTGTTTGTTAAAAGCCAAATTGGTTTAAGGTCATTCTTTTTGGAATACATCAAGGTGAATGCATTTTTGATTGCCCAGCATTCTGCCATGTGTTAGTACTTGCAGATTATTTTGCAATATTGAGCAGCATTTGGGTTGAAGCACTTCTTTTCAAGCAATAGTCAGAATTGAGACTGGTGCTTCAACTAATAATACGAGCAACCTGCATAAAGATGTTTCCAATTCTGACTTCTCAACTGGTGTTAAACATAAATTCTTTTAAACCATTTTCTGCACTTCTATCCACAGTTAGTTCAATGTGTCCTACACTCCTGTTCTAGGATTAAATGCAAGCAAAATTCAATTGCAGTTCTGTTCCCACTCCAATTATTTAATGATCTAAACTGTCCAATACTGACAATTCATTGAGCTTGAGTCCGGGTTTCTCGACACATGGTATAGTGTATTGAATCTTAATTGCCAACTCTTGTGTCATCTTTGAATGGAAATTCATTTAGTATGATTTGATATTCACTGAAATTCTTTAAGCATCAAAAGCTTGATGAAAACCCATTTGAAAGATGTTTGAAATTGAGATCCAAGCTCTGGAACAGTTGGTGTTTAATGGTTTATATAATTTATTGCGACTTTTGTCATATCCCATTAGGTGGTCAGTTTGGAGAAGGCTTTGACTTCGGCTTCACGTTCCGTAATCCTGAAGATGTTTTCAGGGAGTTCTTTGGAGGAAGGGATCCTTTTGCTGACTTCTTCAGTAAGTAATTTATTGTTGAAATTTTTAAACATGGTCATCTTTTCCTTTTTATGAATCCTCTTGAGAATGGAGAGCAGTGGATAGAATGGCGCAGGTTCCCCATTCCTAGTTTCACAGAAAATGAAAACTGGGTGTCATGGTGCAATTTGAGCATTCATTCTCTAGATTAATTGTCCAACTTTGTTATTGGTCCAGTACAGTAGTGTCCCTTAGTTTCTGTACCCACCTTTTTTATCTTAACTGGTGAAATTAGACTGTGCTGTGAAATTCCTGTACAGCAAAGTGTTAAACTGTAATACACACTCACTGTTATGCTTTAAATCCTCACCATTTTTATTCTTGCTTCGGCAGAAATAAAAAAAAATTGCCAGAAGTTGATTTGTCATTTTTCATCACAGCACTTGCAGAAAATTGAGTTTTGTCAAGTGCATGTTGTATGGCTGTGTAACCCTCAGGATTCGAATTGTTTAAGTTTTGCATTTGTATTTCATTAGTCATAAAACATTGTACTCACTGAAAATGTCTCCTGTTGGCATGCTTTGCGTGCTTCGGGGTTAAGCTCAAGCTTTTTCTCAATCATAAGTTGCTTTCTTTGTGCGCTGAACATTTTGTTACATTTCTTCAGCCGCACCGTGAATTCTGGTCGTGAGAGTACAGAACATGCAATGAACGTGTTCAGTCCTTTCTTGTATTGCATTTTGGTGATTAGTGTTACTTGCCTGTTTTAATTGCTCCCTTATAAGAAGGGAATGCCTTCATTCTGAAGTAGGAGCAGTCGGAAGAGCAAAATTATTATTCAGTAGCTGTGTGTATTTGGGTTTGAATGGAGCCTCCAGGAAGTTATGTTTAGGATCAGGTAGACTGCAGTTTGTCAAAGACAACCATTCAAAACTACTTTATTTCCTGTTAATCATAGATCGTTGTAGAATCCCTACAGTGTGGAAACAGGCCCTTCGGCCCAACAAGTCCACGCTGACCCTCCAAACATCCCACCCAGATCCATTCCCCTATAACCCACCTAATCTCCCCATTTCCTGAACACTTTGGGGAATTTAGCATGGCCAGTCCACTTAGCCTGCACATCTTTGGACAGTGGCAGGAAACCGGAGCACCCGGAGAAAACCCACACAGACACTGGGAGAATTTGCAAACTCCATACACTGTTGCCCGAGGGTGGAATAGAATCCAGATCCCTGGTGCTGTGAGGCAGCAGTGCTAACCACTGAGCCACCATGTCAGTGACTGTCAACTCAGTCAAATGAAGCTCAGTCATAAAAAAACAGTAGTTTTGGAAGGGTGCTGTTCTGACTGGAGGTCTGTAATCAGTGGTATTCTGCAAGGATCAGTGCTAAGACTTGTTCTATGATATAGATAGGTGTCTGTGGAGAGGTGTAGGGGTATGCAAGTGTTCTAATTAGTGAGTATGTAGATGACAAAAATTGCAGGAGTTGTGGACAGTGGGAAAGGTTCTCAAAGGATATCACAGGATATAGAGCAATTCAAAAGTTGGATAGAGAACTGGGAAATGGTTTAATCCAAACCAGTGAAGTGATGCATTTTAAGAGGTCAAATGCAAGAGGAAAGCATACATTCCTTGTAACTTACGGCCACTGGAAGTTGAAACCCCCAAATCTGTTTAGAGGGGCACAGCTGTGCTTTTAGAATGGGGACAGCTGGAATTTTAAAGACATCTGCAAAATTTAAGCAAATATAAAGAAATTGAGCGTTCTTGAAACATATGTTGAAACAAAGAATAACCGATGTTGTTCCTTTGTTGAAGCGTAATGGGGATAATCTAGGAAACTAAAAGCTGGTGAGCCTTATCAGTCATAGGGAAGTTATTGGAGAAGATTCTTAGGATTTACTTGCATTTGGAAAATATTGAACTCATTAGGGATAGTCAGTACAGCTTTGTAGGATAGGCCTTGTCTTAAATTTAATAGTTTTTTGAGGAAGTGATGCAGATGATTGAGGGTATGGCAGTGGACATTATATCTAGGTGGACTTCACTAAAACATTTGACAAGGTCCCTCCTGGTATGCTGACCCAGAAAATTATGGCCTCCGTTCTCAAAATGCTGTCCCACTGAAACTTTGCCTGGCAAGGCTCATTCCCCAATACCATGTCTAATATGGCCCCTTCCCTAGTTGGCTAGCTACATTTTGTTTCTTGAAACTGTATGTCTTTAATTTCTTAAATTTTGCAAGCTATGGTGGAAATTCCATCTTCCCATTTGTTCTTAAAGCCCAGCTGTATGCCTCTACACTGAGACTTGGGAGTTTCGGCTTCATCTGAGAGCTCTGCATTGTCAACTCACATGCATTATCCTTTTATGCCATAAGCTAACATGTTGCAATGATTTCCCAAACTCTGCAATAATTCTTCAGTAAAATTGAGTTGAACCTCCTATGATTTAGATTTTGCTGTCAAAGCTGTCATTTGTTTGTTGAAAGTAATGCAGAAGTGATTTGTCTTTTAATCAGTCTTTTCAGCATAGAGGATAGTTAAGGGATACTGAAGGGAATTGCTTTTCGTTTAGTAATTGGTTGTTCCTGTCTCAGATGGAGCACCACATGGTGATGCGCTAATCTCTGCAATAGGATAAATTATTTTTGATTTGAAATTGTCTCATTTGCAGGAATGTAAACCCTTGCCAGAATTGCCCCTCAAAAGATCTGTTGGTAGCAACTAAAACCTGAAAGTTTTATGTTTTGATCTTGAGTTTTGTTGCAGATTCATTGTGCTGTGCCAAGTGTACAGTTCATATCTCCCAGATGAAAGAGCATGTTCTGCAATAAGTATGAAGTTTTGTTCTTCAGATGCTAATGCCTAGTTGAATCAAACATGGCCAGATATCATGAGAAAATAAAGCTAAACCTGAAAATAGTGATTTTGAACCATAAGCTGCAGGTTAGCTTAGTTGGTTGGACTGCTGGTTGCAATGCATAGTGACACGAACAGCATGGAACTGGCTGGGGTTACCATAAGGACCCTCCTTTTCAGCGCCTCATGTAGCCTGCAGTATTGTTGGTGACCTTTAGATTAAACTGTGACTAGCCTCTGTCTAATGAGAGCAGCCTATGATCCAGTAGGATATGGTGACTTTACTGTTGCCTTTTTAGTTAGCCAAGCAAAGTTGATTGCAAGCTGGTTGGATCTGGTTTGGCTAGGATCAGTATGCTTTCAGCAAGATTTTTCTTGTTGACAGCCCCACTTCTGGCAGTTACTTTGCTTTTTTAGCTTTTTTTTAAATTTGGCTGTAGCAGTTTGTACTCAGTCCCCCTCAGCAGCATTTTACCTGCACTTCTCAATCTCGTCTACTGCATTTGCTCACAACGTGATCCCCTCTACAATGGGGAAACAAAGCGTAGACCGGGTGACTGCTTCACGGATCATCTACGTTCTGCCTGCAAAAAAGATAGTTTCCAGTTGAACGCATTACCCTGTTCCCTGGCCAACAGGCTTGCTGCAGTGTTTCACCAAAGCTCAGCGTAAGCTGTGAGAACAACACCACCTCTTTCTGCTTGGAGACTCTGCAGCCCTATGGACTTTTGAGTTCAATAATTTTAGAGCTTAAACTTTGCCATGTCCTAGCCCCCTACCCCACATGTCACCCTGATATCACATAGCTTGCTGTTATACGCTACCTATTAGCTACTGACAGTCTGTTAACAGCTATTCACCCTCCTAGCCAGATCATTATCTACCCCTTTCTGTCTAACTGTTCTGTCTCTTTGGGCTTTATCCTCTCCTATCATTTAGTCCGCCCCCCACCCCATGCTTTGCATATAAACCGGCATTTTCCTAGCTACCATCGGTTCTGAGGGTGGGTCATCAGACCTGAAACGTTAACTTTGATTTCTCTTCACAGATGCTGCCATACCTGCTGAGCCTTTCCAGCAACTTCTGTTTTTAACCACTTTTGGTGTCATCCGCAAACTCAGTAGCCATCTGTATTTTCATCCAAAGCATTGTCATAAAATGACAAGCAAATGAGGACCCAGACTGATCCCTATGGAACACTGCGGGCCACAGGCCTCCAATCTGAAAAGCAACCCTCCACCATTACGCTGTCTCCTGCCGTTCAGTCAATTATGTACCCAATTGGTAAGCTCACCCTGAATCCCACGTGACCTAACTTTACTCAGTAGTCTACTACGTGGAACCTTGTCAAAGGCTTTACTAAAATCTAAATAAACAACGTCTACTGCTCTGCCATCATCAATCTTTTCGGTAATTTCCTCAAAAAACTCTCTCAAATTTGAGAGATGCTATTTTCATAGCACAAAACCAAGTTGACTATCGCTAACCCATTTTTGCCTCTCTAAATGACCATAAATCCTATCTTTTATAATTGCCTACAACTGTTTATCCACAACCAAAGTCAGACTCTCGGGTCTATAGTCCCATGATTTCTCCTTGTAACCCTTCTTAAAGAAATCTACAACATTAGCCACCCTGCAGTCATCAGGCACCTTGCTTGTATTTATAGATGATTTATTAGACTCCTGCAAAGGGGCCTTATAATTTCCTCCCTTCCCACAGCGTTCTCCACCTTTTTTATATTCTCGAAGACCTCCTAACTTCCTCTTCTATAATGTGAACTGTTTCTTAAAAAAAGTTGATTTCTCTGCATTCTCTAGATTCCATTTCTTTCTCCATTGTAAACACTGAGAAACATTCATTTAGTATCTTTACCATCTCCTGGGGTTCAACACAAAGAAGACCTCCTGGATCTTTTAAGAGGCCCTACCCACTGTAGTTGCCCTCTTGCTCCTAATGTATTTGTAGAATCTCTTTGGATTATCCTTAGCATTGGCAGATAACTTTATCTCCTGTTCCCTCTTTGCCTTTCTGATTTCTTTAAGAATGCCACTACACTTTTTATATTGAGATTCAATTGAACCAAGTTGTCTATATCTAAAATAAGATTCTCTTTTATTCTTGACCAGAACTTCAATATCTTTATTTATTCATTGTCCCTTAATGCTACCAGCCTT